GGAGCAGCTCAGGCTGGGGGCTGAGCTGGGTTGACACACGGGGCAGCCGGAGGCATTGGAGTGGTCTGGGCTGGAGCTGAGCGAACACTGAGGGTGCTGAGCAGAGCCTGGGGGAACGGGCACGGGCAGGATGGCAGTGGTGCCCCTCCGGCCTTGCAGAGCTTCTGTGCGCCTCCTGCCCCTGCTCTGTGGTGGGGCAAGGAGCAAAGGGGCCTCCCTGAGCCCAGGGGTGCCGGGCCGACTTACCCAGAGGCGCTACAAGAAGGACGTGCTGCCATCCCCAGAGGAGCCCATTCCTTCCGTGTCCATCACTGAGATCCGCCAGTACCTGCGGGCCCAGGGGATCCCCTTCCACGACGGTTATAGCTGCCTGCACACCCCCAGCCTCTTCATAACTGGGCAGGAGGCTCAGCACCAGCCATTGTCAGCCACCAGCGCCCCTTACACCCTCTTTATTGACAAGACCACGGGCAGCTTCCTGTGCACGGCCACCCTGGCCGAGGGCACGTGGCAGGACTTCCAGGCCAACGTGGAGCTGCGGCACCGCGGCGTCCCCTTCCCCAGCTCGGGGGAGCCGGAGGAGGACACGATCGGGAGGACGCCCGCTGCATCTGGGACCGGGCGCTTCCGCTCTGGGAGCTTTTGGATGAGGATGAGACCCACATAACCAAGGCCATGTTTGGTATCTCCGTGGTGACGGACGCCACCCTGAAACGCTTTGGAGTACGTTACCTGAGGACCGCCAAGTCCTTGGTCTTCCCCTGGTTCAGCCCCCGTGACGCTTCTCTGAAGGGCCTGAAGCTCGTGGGGGTGGAGAACCAGGGAGACACGATAGCTTACGTGGAACAGACTCTCCCCCGGCCAGGCTCCTACCGCAACCTCTTTGGGCTGCCCCTCATCAGCCGCCGAGATACAGAAGTGGTCTTAACTGGGCGGGAGCTGGACGCCGTGGCCCTGTACCAAGCTACGGGGGTGCCCAGCCTATCCCTCCCGCGAGGGCCCACCTCCCTGCCGGCCACAAGTCCATCATTTCCTTCCGCCAGCTGCGGGAGGAGGTTTTTGGGGAGCTGGTCAATGTGGAGCAAGTGGCTGGTGTCAGGGGGGCCCGGTTCCCTGAACTCAACAAACTCCTCAAAGGCCACCGCAAAGGGGAGCTCACTGTCTTCACAGGTGAGGGGTGAAGGGCTCGGGGGCAGGCAGGGTAGAAGGTTCTGTTTGGTGGCTTCGCCTTCCCGGATACCACAGACGGGAGGAGGTTTTTGGGGAGCTGGTCAATGTGGAGCAAGTGGCTGGTGTCAGGGGGGCCCGGTTCCCTGAACTCAACAAACTCCTCAAAGGCCACCGCAAAGGGGAGCTCACTGTCTTCACAGGTGAGGGGTGAAGGGCTCGGGGGCAGGCAGGGTAGAAGGTTCTGTTTGGTGGCTTCGCCTTCCCGGATACCACAGATCTGCCAACTCCTGAAGGTGGCTCCTTACAGTTTTGGGGGGTTTGGGCACGTTTCTGGTGTGCTGAGGCTGGGTGCGTTGGCCTGGGGGTGCGCTTCCTGTCCTGGAGGGCAGGCTGGCTACCGGAGGCGATGCACATGTGCCTGGGCGCCCAGCCTGATGCGAGGTGCTGCTCCTTTATGGCAGTGGTGCTGAGGACGGGCCTCTCTCGGCCTGTTCCCTGGTGCTTTCTCCTCTCAGCAGCCCCCCAGAGTGCATTCAGGATGGGTCAGATCATCTCTCCCAGCTAATTCCTCCCCCTGTTGCCCTTGTGCCAGGCCCGACAGGCAGTGGAAAGACGACCTTTATCAGCGAGTATGCGCTGGACCTGTGCGTGCAGGGAGTGTGCACGCTGTGGGGCAGCTTTGAGATCAGCAACGTCCGCCTGGCCAAGATCATGCTGACGCAGTTTGCGGCCCGGCGCCTGGAGGAGCAGCTGGAGCAGTACGACGAGTGGGCCGACCGCTTCGAGGACCTCCCGCTCTACTTCATGACCTTCCATGGCCAGCAGAACATCAAGTACGGCCCCGCACCTTCTCCCCTTTGCGCTGCCCAGCACTGGCCCCTGGCAGTGTTTGCCCCATGTGGCGTGTGCTGCAGGGCCCTGGGGAGCTGGGGCTCTTCCCCATATCACCCCCATCTCTGCTGCTGCGCACAGCTGATTCTGGTGTTCCTCTCCACCTAGGACTGTGATCGACACGATGCAGCACGCTGTGTACATGTATGACATCACCCATGTGGTCATCGATAATCTCCAGTTCATGATGGGCCACGATCAGCTCTCTGTGGACAGGTAACCCTCTCCCAGCCACTGCTGCTTCCCTCGTCTCTGGATCTGGCCGTGCTGGGTGTTGTGGCAGGGTCTAGGAGTCCACACCCACACCAGGGGCCCTGTCCTCCCTGTTTCAGTCCTGTCCAACACAGCAGCCCTCCTTCACTGAAGGGCAATTGCTGCCCTGGGGAGAAAGAGCTGGAAAGGGATGAGCTGCTTGTTTGTGATCCTTGTTGGGCCCCATCCCTTTGCCTGCTCCATGGAATGTGAACCCAGGCTCCTGGGTCCTTCCTGCAGCAGGGGAGGGAGCGAAGGAGTCTGCTGGTCTGCTGAACAGTGCCTGCCCCTGCTGCCCTTCTCGCTGCCCTTCTCACTGCCCTTGCAGGCTCGCCGCCCAGGATTACATCGTCGGTGCCTTCCGCAAGTTCGCCACGGACAACACCTGCCACATCACGCTGGTCATCCACCCCCGCAAGGAGGATGACGAGAAGGAACTGCAGACGGCGTCTATCTTTGGCTCTGCCAAGGTGAGCTGGGCTGAGGGCTGCTCTTTGTGTCCCTTGGGCACAGTGTGTTCCCGGGAGGGGGTGGGCTGCATTTTGTGGGTGCTTTGCCTCAGGCAGTGATGCCCTGATGCCCAGCTCTTGCCAGTACCCTGACCCCTGCACTCCACTGGGGACCTGAAAGGTGCTGTGATGAGTAGGGTGTCTCCGGGGCCCCTGTCACCTGCAGGAGGGAAATGCGTGGAGTCCTGATTTGGCCAGGCCTTGGTGGGGAGATGCAGGCAGGGAGCAAACTCTGGGCCAGATAGAGCTCTGTTGGGGATTTAAGTGCAGTTAATTGCCACTAATGGACCATGAGCGGGCTGTGGTGTGAGTTAATGAAGTAGCCAAGGAGGGGTCTGGAATTTGCTCCCTAAATACACAAATCTCTGCTATGATGCTGAGCAGCCTTGTGGTGGTGGGCAGGAGGGGCTTTTGTGAGTGTGCCTGGCCCTCCCTGCACTGCTCTGGGATCCCGGCATCTCTGGTCAGGGAGGTGGCAAACCCCAGGGCCCCAGAGAGGTGTTTGTGCCCGTGTCTGGGTAGGGAGGGCTGGGGGCCCTGCTGTGCTCTGTGGTGTGATCCTGGCCTGGGTTCATGCTTACCTTGTTTCCTCGGGGGATGTGGTGGCTTCCGTTCAAATCTGTCTGCTCTGGCAGGGTGCTATGGTGTCCTGGGGGAAGAGAGCCTGGGGCAAGGGGTTGGTATTGGGGAAGTGCTGGAGACGCTGTGGCCTGGGGCACACTGTAGTGGGGCTCACAGCAGTCAAACAGGCATCTCGTGAGCTTCTCTGAGCCATACCACTACGGCTGTATCCGCGGGACCCTTCTGGAGACCTTTTCCTTCCTGCAGGCCAGCCAGGAGGCAGACAACGTCCTCATCCTGCAGGACAGGAAGCTGGTGACGGGGCCTGGGAAGCGGTACCTGCAGGTGTCCAAGAACCGTTTTGATGGGGACGTGGGCGTCTTCCCCCTGGAGTTCAGCAAGGCCTCGCTCACCTTCTCCTCCGCTGGCAAAAGCAAGGTCAGGCTGAAGAAGATGAGGGAGGAGAAGGCGCCTTTATCCAAGAAAGCTCCAGCTGGAAGCACGGGGTCTTCCAAGAAGCCTTGAGTCTGGCTACTCCCTTCTTTGGTCTGTCAGGAGGAACTGGGACTGGTGCTAGCAGCATGGGGCTGGGGTATGCCAGCCCGTCTCCACCAGGAACGGCAATAACGTGCTGCTGTTTGTCCTTTTTCCTCCTACGCAAAGAGGCCTCTTGGCTGCAAAAGCAATCTCACTGGGAGAGATGTGAGGGCCGTGGTGGGAGGACGAATGGGATCCTGCTGGAGAAGAGGAGCCTTTTTCTTGCTGTGCTGCCTCCCAACTGCCCAGGGATGGAGAGCTGGGGGCGGTCCTGGCTCCCTGCAGGCTGCCGCTGGCGGAGGTGCTCCTGGTGCAGGGCAGATGCTTTTCTGTGTCCTAGACAGATGTTTTTGCAAATTTTGGTCACTTGATCTTGGTGCTGAGTGCTGAGAGCGTGGAGTGGGCCATGGCTTGGGTGAGGGCCCAGGGGCAGTAACCTGTAGCCCTGGGGCTCTGGGCTTGGAGCATTTTATTAACGTGCTGCTAAACTTGTTGGGCCAAAATTCTGGGCCATCGTCGTGGACCCCACGAGAGGCCGCATGGTGGGACTGCGGAGACCTCCTCCTGTCTCGGATAGGGATTTCAGGAGTGCTGTGCTCGGTCCTGACTGGGATGGGGTCAGCAAGAGGGAGGTTGTAGAGGGATGCTGAGGGATACTGTGGATGGCCCTTGGCCTGGGGTGCCTGGAGCTGGATGGTCTCTGCTGGGAGCCTTGTGAAGCTCTGACAAAGGTGGGAGCTGCCACCCCCATGGTGGTGGCGCCTGAGCAGTGAGGATGGAAATGTGGCAGGTTGAAGGCAGGGTTTGCTTCCTCTTCTGCTGGCCAGCAGGTGGGATGTGCAGCTTGCCAGCTCTGCCTGCTCGACTACTGCCCTTTGCCCCAGGACGCCCTGGTCTACCCTGTCCTGTCTCTCCACTGTGGGCATCACCAGCAGTAAAACCCCTGGGGGACCCCCCCCGGGCTTGGCTGGAGAGGGGTGCCAGCATTCTGGGCCAGCGGCTTTGGGCAGCCCTGGAGCCAGGCGTGCGCTGTGGTCTCCCCTCCTCTTGGCCCTGCTTTCACCCAGGGCTTTGAATGTGGCAGCAGTGGTCCAGAGACTTTTCAAGTCCATCCCCAGGGACCCTCTTTCAAAGCGTTTAGTGGTGAACACTGTGACCTGGCTGGTCCTTGCCGTGGCAGGAAGAGTCCACGGTCGGATCTTGGTCCAATCCTTTTGTTTTCCTTTATAGTTTTATTAAAGCAGAAATCTGAGTGCTGTTCCTATGCTGCTGTCCTTTGCTGCCTGTGATCACGTCACCCTTTGGCTGGGGGGACCCTGGTCAGGGAGGCGATGTCCTTGAGGGGCCCTTGCCGGGCTGGGCATGTCTGCCCCACAGGGAGTTTCCAGGGCTCAGGCTCAACTGAAATCTGCCTGTGGGCCTCAACAGCACATTTCTGCCCCCGTTCAAATGGGGACTGGTCTGCGTTTCCTGGGTTTGGAGCCTAGGGACCAGGTTGGTGCCATAAACTCCTGGGTGGAGGAGGACAAACAGAGGGACAGGGTTATGGGGATGTCTTGACAAGAGATGCTACTGACTGGGACGCATGCCAGAACATCCCACCCTAAAGATAAGCAGCGAAAGGAGAGAGGCCATCGATGGGGCTGGGACCTCCCTTGGGTCTGTTCTGTCCAAGGTCCCTCACCAGCCTCTTCCACCCTCCTTGGAGGCAGCACGATGGGCTCTGGCGGGGAGGCCTGGCCATGCCTGTCCCCTGGACTTTGTCCAGGAGAAGTCCCTGCTTTCTCCCCTCCACCCCCTCTCTCACCCAGGGGCAGTGGCTGGCCCGGATGCCCGGGAAGGTTAGCGCAGGCAGGGAGGAGGGTGCTGGCTGGGGCTTGCCCACAGCTCTCCCCGTGGTCACAGCCCATCACCGCCGTGTGTTTAGCCCGGCACGTGAGTTATTATCTGCCTCCGCACGGGGCATAGTTTTAACCTGAGCCATAATGAGGGGCTGGGGCGGGCAGGCGGTACACACCCAGCTGCTGTTTTCTGGGGTGCACCAGCTCCCTGGGGCTGTTAAAGCACCCTTGGGTGCTGTTGGCGCAGGCATCGGGAGCCTGAGGAGGGAGTTTGGCTAGGCCCCCAGGACAGGCCAGGGGTGCAAGAAGCAATGGAGGAGGGTCTCGGTTGTGGAGCAGATCCTGGCCAAATGGAGGTAAGGTGGGGGGCAGCGGGCTGTTGGGGAGGGAGCTGGGGCAGAGCTTGGCGGTGTTATGGTGTCTCCTGTGCATAAGGCGCTGTACAAGCACCACAGCCAGGCCCTGGGCAGGTCTGGTGGCATCACTGCCCTGGTGGCATTTCTCCCCAGTGCCAGGGTGATTCCAGTGAGGATTTGTGTGGAGGCAGGCAGGTGCCAGGCTGGGGTTCGGGGCATCCACGCTCAGCCCAGGTGCACCCATCCAGCTCGCTGGCCTCAGTTTCCCCTTGATCCAGCCAAAGGACGATGCTGTTG